AACACTATAACAAAAAACATATGCATAAATAAATAAATATCTGATAATTACAGGACATTTTCTTAAGAGAGCATGCCATATGCTTTTTCCACACTGACAGAAACACGATGCAAAACTTTAATATTACTTATTTTCCAAAGCTTGCTCAAAAAGCAGGCTTCTTAATTTCATTCTAATTCCTTCAAAAATGTTTATTTATTACAGTTCTTATCCTTCTGTTTTCCCTTCTATTTCCCCATGAATTATATGATGCAAGGAAATATTGTCCTTGGTACTTACAGGCAGATGACTGTAAAGTCATCTTTGACTTTGTCAAGGTTTTGGATAATATTTGTGTGAATATTCTATACATTACAAGACTTTAGGTAGTCAAATTAAACATGAATGTTCAAACTGACAGGAGTCAAATAATGCATTTTAAAGATAAAACCAAAAATGCTCAAGTTATTAACATGACATAGAAAAGACTGTGCACAGAATCCTGCCTCCACTTTTCTCCCCACCCAGATTATGCTTCACTCGCTTCTCAAAACCTGTAACAGCCGAGTACAGATTTTTGCCTGTAAGAGCTCCACATAATACAAACCCCAGTTTTATCTCCCAAACAGCCTGCATTTCATGAAGCAAGTCAAGTGTACCCATGTGGGAAAATAAAATATTATTCAAAGACTGGATTATACTTGCCTTTGTGTATTTTTTTTCTGTACAAAACCTTTACTGACATAGAAAAGAAAGCAAACAAAAAAGCAGAAAATTCTCCTACTGCACTGGTCTATATGGCTCAACAGAATTAGCAATACATGTAAATTCGGTACAGTGGATTTATATGTGAGTCATGTGGCAGATGTTGTAGACCTTGACTTTTGTAGCCTCAGTTCTAAAAATGAGCCGACACTGATAGCACTGGCAAGGTAAAACACTCAGGCCATTGTGTTCCTCAGTGGTCTGAGAAAAAACATATATATATATATATACACACACACACACACACGATATATATAGCATGCAGCACTGCCTGTAGCATTATGGTAAGTTTATAGTAATACATTCATAAATTCTGCCAGCTGTGCAAAAAAAAAAATAATTAATAACATTAACAGGATGTCATTGCTAGAGGATTAAAGTGTGAGACTGAGGGTATTTCTTTGATTACACTGCAGCTTCTGGTGAGCTCACTGATCTACTGAGTACCAGACCACTCTGCCCTTTAATTTGCACATCGAGTCTGTCCCGTTTGTATAAATCCCTTGCAATTCGTTTCTGTGTTAACTCTATTCCTAAATGCTACCCTAATGTATGTATCTACCTTGCTCATCCAGTCTTGGTTTCCCCTCTTTGGCCACCTTTGTTCCTTGCTTGATACCAGTCTTCATCACAAGCTTTTCATTCCAGTCTAGTCTCTCCCTTGCAGTTACCTTAATTTCTACCAGCACTGATATGCTCTCCACGAACAACTCCATCTATCCAAAAGCATTATCTTCCTGATAGTCCAGATAAGGTGTTCTCTGCATTTTATTCAGACTTCTGGCTTCTTCATTCTGATTGGTAACATTCCTTTCTTTCTCTAGAAAGGAATACTTGCTAGTGCTTTACTGGTACAATTGTACAGAAACAGTTGCATTCTTGAAGCTCTGGGCTGCACTAGCAACACAGGAAATTCATGACCATAAAATTCTTAATGTTATTTCTAGCCAATTCCCCAACATTTTCACACCCACATTTTTCAAAAATGTTGTTTGCAAAAGATATATCCATGGCATCAACATGCCCAACTATGGATAAATTTTAAATTGCCAGATAAAATGTTTCAAAGTCTCAGACTGCATCAGAGAAATTATTTGCCTTTCACCTTATCTTTTAAATATTAGCAAATTGATGCCTTTGTCCTCTTCTTTCAGAGCACACCCTCTCCTTATCAAAATTTGGCTTTTTACTATTGCTAGTACTATTGAAAGCTAATGCAGAAGCACCATACAAAAAAACCTGCAGGCCAGACTTTTACATCTTAACAACTGGGCATAGTTGTGCCTACTATGGAACACAGAGTCACTTTAATTATGCAACACTACACATCACTGATAGTAACAGTCAGGAACACAGCTGATGCCTAAATGTTTTGCCTTGCCAATATCATCAACATTTTCACGTTTTAAAAATTAAGGCTACAAAAGTCAAGATCTAAAACAGGGAAATTGCTCAAGAAGAACTCTATTCTTCAGTAATCTTTATAATTTCTACTATACAACTGATATGTTTTCCCCCCAACAAATCAATGTGTCAATCTTTAACGAATCTTTGAGTTAACCGTGTCTTTGACTCAGTGTGTCCTGCTCCCAGTCATCTGTTTAATAAGGTAGACACTTTATATGCTGTACTTGGAGATGAGCTGTAAAGTAAAGCTCTGTCTGTTTCAGGTTTTTCTAAGAGCAAAATTAAAAGGCAGTATGCATACTGCAGTACTAACTGCATCTTTTAAATTACAAAAAGGTCTATTTTCTCAACTACAATCTTGCTGAACAATTCAATGATGTTTGTGAATACTAGTTCACTGGACAAGAAAAATTAATCATATGCCATATGCCTGCTGGACAGTGTGGGTTTGGTGGTGGTTTTTTTTTTAAAATTGAATATTGCCCCATGAAAAGGTGTTTGGGTGCTGGAGTTTTTGGTTGGTTGGTTTGTTTTTCCAGTTCTTTTTGACAATAAAGCTTATCTACCTCCTCCAAGAGAGAGGTTTTCCCAGTCACTTACTAATTTTATCTTTAGAGCACCAACAGCATCAAGCAGCCATCATTATAAGCTGACAAACTGAAAGTACCCAAAGTTACACTCTGTCCTGGTTTCACAGCTGGGATAGAGTTATTTTTCTTCCTAGTAGTTGGTGCAGTGCTGCGTTTTGAATTTAGGATGAGAATAACGTTGATTAAACACTGATATTTTAGCTGTTGCCGAATAGTGCTTACAATAAATTAAGTAACCCTGACAGAAAGGAGGCTGGGGGGCACAAGATGCTGGGAGGGGATACAGCCAGCACAGCTGACCCTAACTGGACAAAGGGATATTCCATACTATATGACCATCATACTCGTAAATTAGGGGAAAGGTGGCCAAGGCACCCCTGCTCAGGAACAGGCTGGGCATCGGTTGGTAGTGAGCAATTATTTTTAGTTGCATCACTTTGTTGTTGGTTGGGTTTTTTTTTTTGTTTGTTGGTGGTTTTTTGTGTTTTTTTTTGGGGGGGGGGTATGTCTCTTTAAAAATTTTACTGTTCACTACAATTTTCATTACTGTTATTATTTCAATTATTAAACCGTTTTTATCTCAACTCATGGGTTTTCTTACACTTACCCTCCCGCATCTCTCCCCATATTACAGGGATGATCCAGGTGAGAGCAAATGGTGTGATGCTTAGTTGCTGGCTGGTGTTAAACAATACTCTTTTACACCAATAGCCAACAGGGTACATTTGACAGAATTTATCCATCAGAAGGAGAGTTCATCAAGGAGCAGGAGCATGGAAGAAGGGACTACATGTTCCTTTTTAACATGCCTAGCTTGAAGATTAACAAAAAAAAACACCAAATAACCCCACAAACAAATAACTTTTTTACTACTTCATATTCGCACCTCTTGGCCACCACCATGATACGTTAACCCAGAAGGAGTACTCACCATCTTCACTTTGATTTTTTGCGAAAAAGTTGCAGAGGAAGTATGAAAACCCAACAATAAGTTGGGCAAGCAAGAGGCTAAAGCACACCTCTAACAGAAATTCAAAATTCCCTTTAAACAAAATACTACAGAATAATCCCAAAGGTAACGCAAGTCTAGTACATAGATCTCAATGCACTAGATCAAGAAATGAACATACAAAGAAGCTGACACAACAACTTATTTCTCTTTGTCAGCTGGTAGGAATGCAGACATGCCAAGCAAAACCGTACTCCAAACATGATGGTAAGTTACATATTATCCAGATATAAATTTGAATGTGCAAGATTAAAATATACATTATTTCTGCTATAAACTGTATATATATTCTAAGCACAAAAGTAGTAACAAGAGATACTTCTCTAAAGTAATAAACCCCAAGACCTTTGTGTTTTTAAGGCCCAGCAAGCAAACACCACAGCTCGATACACAGATTACAAGTGCTTCTTGTTTTACAGCCTTTAGATCAAATTTTGAACCACCACAAAATTTCTGCTAAGCTCACCATATACAACTCCATGAAACAATCAAAATAAGGAAGTACAAATTGTCATGTCAATCATTTACGAAAAATTAATATAAGATCACCTTCAAAATGCTGTGTACTATGTTACTGCAACACTATTCAATATTAACCAGGCATTCATGTGCGAATTGATTTAGATCTGTCAATTTTGACTACAACAGATTGGATGTTCAAAGGTCCTAAATGTTAAGTGTGCACAGTATTCAGTACTTAAAAAAAGGAAATGCTCATTTAGATTATGCTTCTTTAAAACAGAGGCTCTCAAAGCACTAAATAGTGACTAACATCTCAGTCATTCTAAATAACTTATAGCTGCCCTTCTTTGATCGTTTAACATTCTTTGCTGAACTACTGTTATAGCATGAATTTTCTTGTAATTTTACCTTTTCAGAACTATAATTACATCTATTACAAAAGTAGCCAGATTCTCTGGAAAAAATCCCAAACAAATCTCAATGAATTTCATAAGAAAATAGCAAAGATGTCTTTTATAATTCTTTCTATTATATACAAGCAATGAAGCAAAATAATCACAAAAAACAAGCATTAAAGAGATTATCAATGATGAAAGCTGCTTTAATGATTTGAGGGTTTTTGAAAAATGATTTAGGAATTAAGTAAAATCTGTGAGAAAGAACTTATAATGAGAACTTGTCAAAAGCTAAAAACACAGACTACAAAAAAGTTTTTAATGGTAAAGTATACTTTAGCTCCTATCAATCACTGTTACAGTAATTTCAGAATTTAATAAGTAGATATTTACCTGCTGGAACAAGACAATCTTTCCAATCAAAATATCCTGCATAAATGCCAGGTTCTAATGACCCAACTATAGGATCTGCCTTGAATTCAATGTACATTTCGAACAGTCTTTGATCCAGCTCTTTCAAGGATTCCATACTAACCTAAAAAACAGTGGGAAAAAAAAAAAAAGAGGAAGAGATAAAACATAATAAATGCTCATTAACTACAAGAACTAAGTCACATACCCCCCCAAAAATTACCTCATGTAATTTTTAGTTTTTGATAAATTGCAGCAATTACTTTTTCGTTTCATAATTACATATATGAAAACCTAGGAACTTTCATATTATCTGTCCATCCTACCCAATATATTTTTATTTTTTTTATTGTGCTCAGCAGCAGACATTTTTTGGAATGCCAAAGCAGGCAGATCACTCTAATTGTCTAATAGCATGATATTTTTTCCCTGAATATCAGGAGGTCTTGATCTTGCACCAAGTAAAGAATGAGTTTTGTCAATGCTTTAAAACGTGCCCATAATAATTTCCAATCTGACACATGAAGATTTTCATATAATACTTGATACACCAATTACAATTTTTCAACTTCTCACTATCTATCTGCTCTGTATTTAACAGGCATACAGATTTATTTAGCAGTTTCTGCCTTCTGAAACAGTATATGTGAACCTTATTGCTTTATTTCAAAGCACCTTGGTACAGCAGATGCATAGGGACAGCTTACCAACATCTGCCAAAGATTTCTCTTTTAACAGCTCTCTATGCAGTTTTTAGTAATTCACACAACTTAGCCACACTGAAAGCTAAAGAGATAGGCATAGTTCATTTACTGTATTGGAAACTTCAAATTTTATACAAGATTTTCTTATACCCCCTGTATAGGTACAAGGGGTATAGATACCTTACAGCTTCTAAAATAATTCTGGAATGCAATGCAAATCATAAAATATTAAAGTAGAAATTCAGTATCCTAGGATGGTAATGGATGCTAAATGCAAATAAAATGTGGAAAATATCACGTGATTTAGAACAGCTTAAGTGATAGAAAAGTAAAGACTTTAAACTACTTCTCATTTTCCTCAATCATCAGGGAAAAAAGCATATATGAAATAATTTTCAGAAGCAAAGGGGTTTAAATGTGAGGAAAAAGGCAGGTCTAGATCAAACCAGAAATTAAGAAAGAAAATAAGAATACCAACTCCTTATAATTCCTTTCTAAATATTTAATACTGAAAGCTGTAAAATAAGCAATGAAGATTTTTCACTGCAGGGATGTCTCTGAACTGTGTTCTTCACTGGCATGCCTACACTGTTAAGTGAGGAGGAAAGAGAACTGCAGTATTTGAGTCAGGAACAGACAGACAGATAAGCCTTCAGGAATCAGATCATAAGTGCAAGGGAAAAGACAAAGTTGCTGTCAGATTCAGGAAAGTTGGGATGGTGAAGATGGTGTTTTGAAACAAGAGATACTACCACTTCCGTGCTTTTCTATCTGATAAATCTAATTTGTCATCCTTCAACCTGCTTCAAGTTCAATGCACAATTAAGATAATGGTGGGTAAACTTGTTTTTCAGCTGGTGGAAAGATTACAAGAAAGAATGAACAATTCACCTGAATTTGATTTTGAGCCCAGGAAGGGGGAATGAAGCGGAAGTCCTCAGCAATGTCCACTGTGTATACCCATTTTCCTGATGCTCAAGAGGGGCAAATACTCACAAAACCATAACATTCACTCACTGTTATTCTTCTAAGAATTTCCCTATAACTACAGTTTTCAAATTTGTATTAAAGCCATTTGAGTCTCTATCCTAGTAACCCATCTGCCTTATCTAAGTATCAGAACTCTGGAAACAATTATATCCAGAAGCTTAAACAACAAGCTAGGATGAATGTTATGGGATAATTCTTCATCCACTTGCTAATTAACTAAACGGATGATACAGTGTTGAACTAAAGAATCTCCATAGAAAAGCACTTAAAAGATTTATGTAAAAATTAAATATAACTACAGGTGAGTATCATAAGTATGTGCCAAGATGGCATGTGTGTAAAGCAGAGCATAAAGTTTGGCCATTTTATTTAAATTTGTATTTGGCACAATAAGAAAAAAAATGGAAACAGCAACCATGTAGAACGTAAGGAAATTTCTTGGTTACCATTTTATGACTGCTGTATTTTCATATTAGATAATAATGATTTCCCTGCTAACATGCAACTTTAGAAAGAACACAACAATGTACAGTTTTTACCAACATAAACTACAAAATCACATTAAAAATCCATATATAAAGCTAACAATTTAAAAGTACAGTTTTGTTTCAGTCATCTTAAAACCAAATTTTGTTTTTCTAAAATTCTGTCAGATCTTTATTACAATTTTTTATCTAATAATAAATTCAGTTAAAAAATTACAGAAGTTCAGGTGACAGAACAAAAAACTGGAATAAATCAACCAACACATCTAAACCTCTGTGAACAGTGAAGGGTTCAAAAACTGCTCTCTATCTAATTATCCAAATTCTCCCAGGGAGCATTACTGATTGATGGGTCCCATATATGCTTATCTGGTCCAGTCAGTGCTTTCAAAGGGTTAACACAGATTTGCAATTAATCTGCTACTTCAAGATTTGAATTTTGTAATTTATAAAACTACCAGACTTTTAGTACCAATACTTTGATGTGGCTGTACAAGACAGTGTTGAATACATACATAACAGATGTCTTATTTGCTTATATAGACAACACTAACTGTACCTAGCTCAACTCAGTTGTCCCAGTAGCAAAGAACCGCAATATCTAGAGTAATTCTGTATACTGTACTAAATACACAAATCGTGTCAAACCCATTTAACTGCTATTCAAAATTACTTCAGCCACAGAAATTCAACCAACATTCAGGCAGAAGGGAATTAAGGATGTACTCCACAGTAGAAACATCAGTTTGAGTGAAATACTGTACTCTGTATTGGAAAAGATAACATTTTACCTCAAATCAACAAATGTTTCTGGAAATAAACTGGGTTTATGGCCCTAAAGGATTAAGTCACAACATTTCTCATAAAAAATGATTAGTCTTTACAAAAAGGCAGGAAAATGAGACAGCTACTGCCACCCACTTCGACATTTTCATTCTTTGAAAAAAAAAACCACCACAAACCAAAAAAAAACCCAAAAACCAAACCAACAAAAACCAAAACACAACAAAAAACCTGAATTAGTTTATGAACAACAGCTATCAGTAACACAGATTGCCAGATGAAATAATTTATCAAGTATATTTCTGAGATAATGATCTTTTATTCTCAGCATTAAGAGAACACAGTGACATTAAACAGCTTTACTAAGAAATCTGATAAGCTTTCTGAAGTCCTGAATAAGAGGTCACATTTGCTACACAAGCTATTTAAGCCTTACAGGAACATATACAACCATATTGTCGTTGTATCCAACTGATGCTTGCAGTCCCACTGATTTGTAGTGGGCAGACCCAAGAATACTTTTAGCCATCTGAACACTTGCACTTAATTTCCACAGAAAGCAAAACAAAGAAAAACTGTTTCCTTCAAGCAGTGCTTTTTCATTCCAGTGTTCTCACTTACTTGAGTTATTTTTTCAACGCCTTGAAAGCCATGTTTCTCAAAATGTTCAGCTATGTTTAGGAAGGTATGACGTTCCAGATAACGGCAGTTACTGAGTGCAATTAAAAGCCTCTGTTCCTAAAAGAATTATTTTAACAGAAGAAAAAGTACAATAGTTAGAAAAGAAGCATCAGCATGACCAACACTTTAAATGTATAGTATTTTAACTTTCTGCATGTGACAAAAAAGCTGATAAATAAAGTGGAGTTTACAAATATTTATGTCAATAAACCACCAAGAACTGAGTGAATTATCAAATATGATGACTGAATGTACGCTTTTCTTATGGGATCTGGAGCATTCACTGGAATAGCTGTGACTAATACAGAACTGTGGTTAAGACGTTGTTACAAAAATGAGGTTTGGACGGCTTTCCAGGAAGCTGTTTCTGGCTTTTACTTTGTTTCAAGAAATAGGCTAAGAATTATGACCATTATAAAATTAACTGAAGATCGGGGCCATAAGATACTGGCACAGGTTGCCCACAGAGATGGTAGATGCCCCATCACTGGAGACATTCAAGGTCAGGCTGGATGTGGTTCAACCTGATCTAGATAAAGATGTCCCTGCTTATCACAGGGGGATTGGAACTAGATGACCTTTGAACATTCTTTCTAACCCAAACTATTCTATGATTCTGTGATCTTCACTTTCACATGAAGTTGGCTAAAACTAGGGAAGCAGAACAGCTACTGACCAAATACAGTCACCTGTTCTAAAATACCAGAAAATTCAGAAGTACATAATATAATTTCAGCAATTAATTTGGAAATTTATTTTCATTTTTTCTCCTTTTTTTTTTTGTTTTAAATACAAGAAGGTCAAACACATTCCGGATTTGAAATAACAGAATTGCATCTCCATGACCTTGATGCAACAAGGTGCAGTTTCCAAAGAAACAAAGAACCAAACAAGACAGAACTAGTATTTAAATAATTTGGTCTACCCTCTTTCCCTCTCTTCTTCTCCGAATGGCAAAACATTTATCTACCTCAGACAGCAGTTCAAAATCAAAACCAGCAAATATTTTGAAAACAAAATTATTTGGCAATGCAGTCACCATAAGAATGCAGATCTGATTAAAAATGGTTTTCAGACCCAGAAGAACTATGACAATTATGTATTCCAGCAATATAACTACTACTGAGATACACAACTGACTACTACTTTAAGTTATAATCAGCTGGTATACAGACTACTGAAAAAAAGAGAATATTAAAAATACAGTGACGAATTTTACTTTGATCACTCACCACCTCTGTTCTCATTACTCAATAAGGAAAGAGAAGATAAAGAGTTCTGTGATTGACAGGAAAAAATTAATATGATACTATGGAAGTCAAACATTGTCTGAAATCGTTACTATCTTTCTTCTTATCTAAACCTTCATACCTATGACACGCATGAGGAAACCACAGACACAAAAATGGTAGTTTATCAGCAATTAATATCAAAATTGATGTGTTTCAAGAATAAAAGTCTTGAAAGAATTATTATAGTCTGCAATTCAGAAACTTGCCATGATTTGGCAATCTGATTCTTTATTGCAGCAGGAATGCTTATTGCTTTCATAAATAAGCAAAGCTGGGCTTCTGAGAACATTTAAAATTGTACTAAGGAATATTAACTTCACAACAGGCTCTCACTAGGTTTCCTTCACGGAATAACTACATTTTTTTCATTAGCTACCAGACTAGAAGAAAGTACATTCACCAAAGCCAAAGTGTCAGGAAAAGAACCCTTTTTTTTTTTTCCCCAATTTTCCAAAAAGCAAAACCAAATTCAAATAAGTCAAATAAATAATTACTCAGTAATGTTTATTTTTTTTTGGGAAACTACAGTACTGAATATCTGTATTTTCATAGGGTTTAAAAATCAACTAATAATTAGACCACTTCTTATAATTTATAACAAGGTGACAAATCAAAAGTTACATCTTCAGCTGTCTTAACACTAGTGCTATTTTCACTAATTTCAATGATGCCATTTCAGTTTGAGGAAGACATGGTTTTAAAAATACTTTCATTAGTTACCTTAAGATGGTAAACTAAGATACCATAAGAGAACAGTAGAATCATAGAATAGTTAGGGTTGGATAGGACCTTAAGATCATCTAGTTCCAACCCCCCTGCCATGGGCAGGGACACCTCACACTAAACCATGTCACCCAAGGCTCTGCCTAATGTGGCCTTGAACACCGCCAGGGATGGAGCATTCACAACCTCCCTGGGCAACCCATTCCAGTGCCTCACCACCCTCACAGTAAAGAACTTCTTTCTTATATCCAATCTAAACTTCCCTTGTTTAGGTTTTAACCCGTTATCCCTTGTCCTATCACTACAGTCCGTAATGAATAGTCCATCCCCAGCATCCCTATAGCCCCTCTTCAGATACTGGAAGGCTGCTATGAGGTCTCCACGCAGCCTTCTCTTCTCCAGGCTGAACAGTCCCAACTTTCTCAGCCTATCTTCATATGGGAGGTGCTCCAGCCCCCTGATCATCCTCATGGCCCTCCTCTAGACTTGTTCCAACAGTTCCATGTCCTTTTGATGTTGAGGATACCAGAACTGCACACAATACTCCAAGGAGGTCTCAGGAGAGCAGAGTAGAGGGACAGAATCACCTCCTGTGACCTGCTGGTCACGCTCCTTTTGATGCAGCCCAGGATACGGTTGGCTTTCGGGGCTGCAAGCGCACACTGAAGCCGGCTCATGTTCATTTTCTCATCAACCAACACCCCCAAGTCTTTCTCTGCAGGGCTGCTCTGAATCTCTGCTTTGCTCAACCTGTAGCTGTGCCTGGGATTGCTCCAACCTGGGTGTAGGACCTTGCACTTGGCATGGTTAAACTTCATGAGGTTGGCATCAGCCCACCTCACAAGCGTGTCAAGGTCCCTCTGGATGGCATTCTTTCTCTCCAGGGTATCAACCGAACCACACAGCTTGGTGTCATCGGCAAACTTGCTGAGGGCGCACTCAATCCCACTGTCCATGTCAGCAACGAAGATGTTGAACAAGGCCGGTCCCAACACCGATCCCTGAGGGACACCACTCGTTACTGGTCTCCAGCCGGACATTGAGCCATTGACCACAACTCTTTGCATGTGGCCATCCAGCCAGTTCTTTATCCACCGAGTGGTCCATCCATCAAATTGATGTCTCTCCAATTTAGAGACAAGGATGTCATGTGGGAATGCGTCAAATGCTTTGCACAAGTCCAGGTAGATGACATCAACTGCTCTACCCCTGTTCATCAGTTCTGTAGCCCCATCATAGAAGGCCACCAAATTGGTCAAGCAGGATTTCCCTTTAGTGAAGCCATGCTGGCTGTCACCAAGCACCTTGCTGTTTTTCACTTCCCTTAGCATGCCATCCAGGAGAATCTGCTCCAAGATTTTGCCAGGCATGGAGGTGAGACTGAATGGTCTGTAGTTCCCTGGGTCATCCATTTTCCCCTTCTTGAAAATGGGGGTTATATTTCCCTTTTTCCAGTCATAGTACCTTATATCCTATTTTCTTATGCTTATGGACATATGTATCTAGTAAATGCCTCTAGAATACAAAGTTGCTCTCTAAAAAAGAAAAATATAACTCTGAAACAATACAGTAAAAGGACTCATTCCAGTAACTTTGAGAAATCTTAATTTTCACATCAGCTTTTAAAAACATAAGCCAAACTTACTGAAGAAAGACTGGAGTCTTCGTGAATGCTTCCAAACAAATCTGGAGATGAAACATCAACTGAAAGACTAAGAATATTATTAAAAAGTGAGTATTATAGTGCTTTTAATTATCTGATACATGGTGGATTCAAATGAACAGTTGGAACAGAAGATCAGAATACTGTTTCAAGCTCCTTTGCATTAGACAGTAAAGCAGCCATGTTGCTCAGTTTGTCTAAGATGTGCACAAAGCCTACAGGAGCTCTGGGGCCAGAAAGTACTATTTCAGCTACAGACCTTTCCTTCTTAAAGCATTTTAATTTTCTCTGGTTTGCCATAGATTCCATTTTGGTTTTACACCTATCCAGCCAACAGCCACCCAAGTATCAAAAAAAAAAAAAAAAAAGGAAAAAAAAGGAAAAAAAAAGTGGCATTAGGAACACAGTCGATTTGCCTTTTTCTAATGCATATTGTGTATTTGCCAAGTCTCTGGCTCTTCACAAAGAAATGATTAGTGCTCTCAGAAACTCAGGCTATTCCGACTTATTTTGCTCTCTAATGTAAGTGGCTCATGAGCAATTATTGAACAAAAAAACTGTTAAGAATTTAGCAGAAATACCAATAGAACTAGTCAGAATAAAAGGGAAGAAAAGAAAGGCAGGGGCGGCTTTTTCTCCAAGACTAGACATTACTTAGTGACAAGGACAACTCATTCCATGTAAGGGCACGTCAAAAACAACATACATGCTTCTACAGCACATAACTCTTGTCATTGAATAAAATGGTATAATAATACCATATTCATTATTGTGCACAATATTTATTACATGATGTCACTCAACTGTTCAGCATAAAAAGTATCTGCTCTTATTTCTAAGCATCACTAACCAGAGGCAAAAGTACTCACAAGAAGTATGAAATACCACAGGGGATAAAACACCGCCACTACTGAAATTTGAGACTTGCACCTGCATTTTCAGAATATTACACGTAGGTCCTATTTATTTTACTTACTGTGCTGTATCTATGTCACCATCAGGTTTGGTGCTCAGTTGTTCCAAGCAGTCTATAAAGACCTAGAAAACAATAAAGCAAGAAGTACATTTTCTGCCAGAAAAAAAAATAAAAAAAAAATCTTAAATTCACTTTTATAACAATCAATAGAAGCAGAAAACCATCACTGCCTTTGTCTTAAACCCAACATAAATACAGTAACATTTTACTTACACTTTTTGAATGCATATTTTCAATTTTATATCCATCACAGTTTACTTGTTAAAAAAAACACAGGACTTTTTAATTTTCCCAAGTGATATTCATCATGCATGTCTAAAATTATGCAGTGATAATCTGCATTTGAAAAGGCATTGTTAATAGTTTTCAAGTGCTCAATCTAAACAGTTGATCCCAAGCAAACATCACAAAAGTATCACTAAAATCCATTTTTTGCTTTGGCTCACGATTTCTTATTTAAGAAGACTATAAAAATGGTTCAAATGTATTCAAGAAAAAGGATCAGATTTTGCTACAAAGAATACTGGCTTCGAATGCAAAAATTGAAAGCTAGCTCTTCAGCTAATGAAAATCAGTATTGCTCCTTTTCACTGCAGTATATCAATGACAGCTCAGCAAGTGTCTTTCAATTGTCAGAAAAACCTTGAACAGTCATGACTGGTAAAATACTTGAATATGTCAGCCTCTGAGGATTTAGTATCATCAGATTCAGCTAGTAAGCTCTACATACTTTTAAAGAAAAACATTTCTCAGTTTTCCAGAGTATATCAGAGGAATAACACAGTCATCAACTTAAGGTACCTTTTGGGAGGTGGGCAGGGTACAAAGCACACATTTTTGTTGATCACCAAGTTTCACACTTAGAACTGCTCGAGTTACCTGCATGATCCCAATGCTCAGCTGACACACATCCTCCTGTGTTTTCTGCTGCTGGAAAACCTGAAGATGCAAGCATAATATTTCAGCAGAATAGCTTCTTGTGGGCTTATTCTCAAGAAAAGCCTGAGTATACTATCCCTAAAGAGATTACACAATTGTAGGAATGGATGCTGGGACACAACTCAAAGATCTTTGTTTTTTTCAAGGATCTTTGCACCTTAAGAAGAAGGATTCCTCATGCACTGTAGATTCTTGTGAATAATGTTCACTGAGATACTAGACAAACCAGCTGTAAAAATAAAAATAAGGGAGGAGAAACAATACCCACAAAGGAGCCCAAGGGATTTTGGAAAAGTATTAAACTTCCTTACATAACTGAAACCTGAAAGAAAACATCAGTATCACAATCAGCTGTGGTCTCAAGGTATTAAGTGGTGGGTACAATGAGGACTGCTGATTTAGAAGTGAAAAACTGAATTTAAGTTCTGCAAGTAATTTGGATGCAACACTGACTGAAGAGTAACTCCTTGGAATGGCACCTTCTTTTTTTTTTCCCCCTCATGTAAATTAAGTCACATCTTTTGCTACCTGAAAGTTACGTTAGTAGCTTTTTCCTTTTTTTGCTACCTGAAAGTTACGTTAGTAACTTTTTCCTTTTTTTTCAAAAGGACAGCTTTAAAGGTTTAAATACAGGTTCAATCTTCCCCATACATACACAATTATCCCAGCAAAGGAAACAAACAGAATTCTAAAAGCTAGCAGCAGTGAAAAGGGTGTTCATGATTAAAAAAAGAAGGAATTTATACCCCTGTATCATTCTCTGAAAGTTCTTGTTCTGAAACCCAACAGTAATTAGCATAAAAAGAACAAAAATAAATGCATAAATCGAAACTTACGCTGGCCTCTCCAGGTTTGCAGTCTAGTACAGTTTTAAGAGATTGCAAGGAATGTATAATGCACTGTTCAAACTGGGTTGGCTGAAAGGCAAAAGACTTTTTAGCTTTACCATGTCAAACGTATACTACGCAAAATTATAAAAACGTCCATGCCATACGGTAAGCTCTTTATTTCCAAATTATCCTAAATAAGGTAGGGGGTGGAGAGAATAAAAAAAAAACCAACCCCCCCCAAAAAAAACAAAAAACCACAAAACAAACCCACAATTCATATATTACCAATGGACCTTTTTGTAGTGACGTCCTTTTGTACTTAAGCTTGTTACAGAATTATTACCATAAGTCAATGCACATTTTCTTACCTGAACAAGACACTTCTGCATCAAACAGCCTTCTCTGAAAGGGTCATGAAAGATTTTTATAGCTTGTTCGTGGTAGCATAGATTGACAACTACATTATAGATGCCTGTGACACTCTCCTCCTTCCCCTCCTAGATCTAAGTTGGGATAGAATTTCACCTGCGATATCTGATATTTTTGTATTTTATTCCAGCAAAAAGTTTCTAAGAAAACCTGACTGAAATTGCTTTCACACAGAGGAAAAACACCCACTGGATTGGAGGCACTTTTTTTTTTACCTTCGGGTTTCCAAACCTGAAATACCAATGTCTTGCTGCATGGATCAATTTCACTTTGAAAGTGCACACAAGTTCACAGCATCAGTCATCAGGCAGTTTTTCCTTGTCTTTCCCTCTTCCCTGATAAGTCATACTTTTTTTTTTTTAGATGAGGCTGCCTGCTGGTATTAGGCAGGAAGCTATCATGCAGGGCAGTGTGTGGCAGAGAGGTGTCACTGTTGTAGAAAAGAGGGACATCATCCTATTGGATTTGCATCAAGGAGGTGGACAAATGAGTTCCTAAGCCATGTAAACCCACTTTTCATCCAGTGGATAGTTTATGGAAATGTCACTAACTTCAGGCTTAGGAGCAACTTTTATTTCTGTAACTGCTGAGGTGGAGGTGGACCGTCAAAAGTGGTATCTGCATGACAACCTGAAACTCATGAAAAAAGTCACCAAGACAATCTGTAATGATTATTTTGGGACCCACTTAAAAGAAAAAGACTAGCAGTAATCCTCTTGGGTTTTGTTTCCACAGAATAAAACATCACACCTCAGGGGAAGAAAGCTGTTCAGGTATCTTATTTTTTGGATATTATGAAACCAAGGAAAACTGGTTCTGTGTCTTACTCTACCTTTTACCTGGAATATAAATGCTAAAGGGGCTAGCAACCAGTATTTCCTGCAAACATAAAATAAAGTTTCTATATTAAGCCTAAAACATTCCCAAAGAGATGGTGTGGCCCTTCTTTGTACTGGTTAACTTTTGCCACAAGTTTTGCTATAATAATACCACTATGAACTCAGTTCAGTAGATAAATAATCCTGTTATGATAAAACAATCAATTGCAACCATGAAAATTTATCATGTCTCAACCTTGGCCTCAAAGGTAACTAGGGAAGTGCTGCACACATAGAATTAGTGGGCGATTTCTAAATACGAAAGAGACCCAAGTATTTTTTAAACAAAGATGGGTTAGGATACAGCAACACCATAAAGAAACAAAGTGAAAACCAGAAAAGTTAAGGGACTTGCTCAAGTCAGTGGCAACTGAAACCAAGACCAGAAGCTGCATATCTGGTTATAATACTACAATTGCCCAATAACACACTTTTCTACAATGTGTATGTATAATGTGATTGCTTAATACCCTCCTACTGAGCTTCAAACACGTATTTATAGAAGCAAGTAAGAAAAACTAAGAAACTCTGTGGAGCATTCCCTTAGATAATACACACAGAGCAACTCTTCCTCCCACAGGCCCGTTCTGCTTTCACGGATTGTTTTTAAGTCACACCTACAACATGCTTGCTGTGTTTTAGGCATTACTCATTACTGTTTATTTCCAGAAAACATCTCACTAATTTATCTGAATCTGGTTTCAATTCATTTGTTGTTTGTGGGTAGGCAATCTCCTAAATTAGTTGTTTTTCAGTTCAATTTCTCATTATAACATATAAGTGACCTATTTATTTAGCTACCGACCAATTCCATGGTAGTGTGCTTACTAAATTTTGAAGCATTTTGATGTGAAATGAACTTGTTGTGACCTCAAAAATAATTTTTTAGTTCAGTAACCCATCCCTAAAATAAGATGCTTAACAATGAAAGCAATATTGTATATATATCTCAGCAAAATCATGCTAGATGTCATTGGTAATTATACTGATACATTTAACCCTACATAAGGCAGAAAGTCACGCTACATCTTGTTGTCTAATTGTTTGTTTCTCAATATATGGCACAAATCTACAAAGCTTTTATTTGTGCATTTGAAGGTGCAAAACAGGAAAAAATATTGCTGTCTAGTAAGTAGCATAAAGTTGCTTCAGGTAAAATAGTTTAAGTAGAAACAAAAATTTTTGAAAAGTTCAGGAAAAAAATATTTGGCAATGGTATCTGTTAAGAGTGCTGTAAATAAGTAACCAAACAAGCCATTTTGTATTTTTTATCTTCCTATATTTTCATACTAAAAAAAAAAAAAACACCAAACAAAATCACTACAGATACCAGTATATACACATATAGACAAAGTAAAAAATACTTCAGGTTTTGGAGAATAAAACCGGTTTCAAAGAAAGTGTCTCCAACAGACACAAGAATACCTACCAATGATGTCAAACCCTCGTTGTCAACAACCCAGTCTTCCTTTTCAGCTAACCTCTTTATATCTGCAAGACAGAGCAAAAGGGTGAAAGGAGTGGGGAGAGGGAGATGGTATTTATTTTCATCATTAAAAACTCCTTGAACTTGAAAAGATAAGCCACAGACATTGGGACTGCAATGACTAGGCATACAAGGAAAAAGCACTAAAAGCTTCAAAGCATTCAGCATTCTCAAATGACTAAGAATGGAACTCATACATGGTACGCTGCTGACACCACAGAGAAGCGTATCTATGATACATGGCAAGAGTTGCACGAAGTACATCTTTTACTGGAAAGCTGAAAATTAAAGGAATATTGTGAAGGCTTTCGGCTTTGTTTTTATTTTTGAAAATTTTTAATCACAACAAAATACTGCATTTAACAACCCAAGTCTCTAGTCTATTATGTTCCAGCTCTTAATTAAAAATGAAAGAACAACTGGCTAGCATTTTGGCAAAGGCAGAACAGACAACATCTAATTCATATGCAATTATTATAAAAGAGGCACAGGGTACCCATTAAGGGTCAAGGCACCCACAGTGCTAGACTTTCTTCAAAAATGCATGACAGCATATGCAAAAAGCTCACTTTTCATTACCCAGAAGGTGCCAACTTCTATAGGCTTACTGAAACTAACAGAAGCTAAGTCAGGACGTGAATCTAAAACTCCTGTATTGTAAACAAAATTCCTCTATGAACACGTGTATTCTGCATCATTGCTTTCTGGGGTGGGGGGGGGGGGGCTTAGTCAACTTGTAAACAGAACAAAACAAGTAACTATATGCAGTTTGTGGGGGCTTTGACATAGAGTTTTTCATACACAAGTTGCTCATCAGAACGGTCTGTATCTCATGCAACTCCCTTTAAATAAGCAAAAAATTTTGGTGAATTACTATCTCTCCCCAAAATCCAAGAAAAAAGGATAACTAATGCAGGCTGAAGGATATTTTCATTACCTTGGTGCTTTAATTAGCTAAATTAAGAAGCTTAGTTATGGTGTCATACCCCGCAATTCTACATCTCATGGAAGTATAGGCTTTGTGAGGATAAAAAGTATCAAGGAATTGTGCAGAATGACAACTATGTTCATTTCCTTACTTAGTAAACCTCTTACTTCAAACAATATGCTTGTGAGGCTTTAGACTGCACTGGTCAGCCTTTACATGTTTCAGTGGCTGCTCACTTTTGCATTCAGTTCTGAGCTGATACAAATACAAAAGAAATCATTTTCTTTCTCATATTTCATTGCTCATCAAATTCCAGTCAAAAATATTAATGTAAAACTTATCTAGTCTGGCACTCATGTAATTTGCCTTTTGTGACCTTTATGACCACTGATCACATATGAGAGGGAAAGAACACAGGCTGCTTCTCGGGACTACTGTGAGTATATGGGTTTATCATAAGACAAGAAGAAAACCCTGCGCGTGGGCAGATTTGTCCTATTTAAATAGCTAGAGTGCTCTATTAAAAAAATTCAACTGATCTGAATGCCTTTACGAACTTACAACATGCAGAAAGAGATGAGACCAAACTTTGATCACCAGTCTATGCAGCTCATATTTCAGAGAGATTTTGGAAATGAGTCAAGTCCAAGGGGAACATTTCTGACTTACATATTACAGATATAATTACATCTGAGATGCTTTTATATATCTCCATGAGAATATTCATTAACTGTTCTTTCACTGGTTCCCTAAAAATAACAGTTTATCCAAGGGCCAAATTAACCTGGTTCTGCCCAGAAAAACTATCTAAACACACTCAACATACACAACTGTGTTTTAGGTGGTGGTACAGCACAAAAGGAAAAAAAAAGGGTCCCATAGATAAGGCACACAGTGCAACAATATGGAATGTAAGTCACCATTCAGGCAGGAGTATTTTCTCTTCTGTTTGATGCTAAAGCCAATAGATAGAATTTCTTCACTGATAGGGAATGGAAGTAGCAGTCAATGAAGGCTACTTTTACTGGCTAGATGAAAGACACCCAACATAACATACCAGCAACTTAAGGGATCTGACCTCTTTTGATTCAAGACAGAAAAGTATGAATAAAGATATTCAGAACAAACAGAATAATTCACACACAGACTGGTAAATTTGCTTTAATAAAAAAGGTATAGACTAGCACAAGAGTTTCCCTCCACATAATATACGTGGCTGGCAACCAGGATATAAGAAGCGGGAACTCTGTATCTTAAAGAACAGTTACTGTTGCAATGCAACAAGAAGGCAAAGCTAGTATGACAGAAGAGAGCTTCCTCAATCATGTATTGGAGCTCTCTGGACTGCACTGGAAAAGCTAGGTAGATAGCTTACAGATTTAATAAGCTAAGGGCTGTCAGCAAAATGGTTTGGAGCTAGATCCTTCCTTCGCAACAGTCAAGACATCCAAGGAATCACTCAGTTCTTAGACAGAGGACAGCCAGTTCTACAGGACCATCCCCATGTTACAATTAGAAAACCTCAAATTTCTTAACCTAGCATTAAAAAAAATATATAAAAAAATAAAAAAATAGAGTTGATCTCAATTGTGCTAAGAGAAGAAAAGCAAAAGAGACTTCCTCATACTATACATATCAATACTGTATCAATTAAACCACAGAGGCCTTATGATTTGTGTTCACCAGAAGGTTAAAAATTTGCTTAATATAGCCAACACCACTTAGCACACTTAAGGCTTCAGTAAAACACTTAGCTTCATGTCAGCCTACAAAGTAATGATGAATCATATGTTAAAAATTAAAACCTAATTAAACTGCAAGACCAAAAAGATCCTGAGTTGGTGGTGGTGTTTTTTTTTTCCTTTAAATTGAGTGTAATCAGTCTTTTGGAAAAAACATCAAGTGAATAGTAAAGCAATCTGTCCTCATTTTAAGTGAGGCATCTAGTTCTGGAAGATTTACTTCATTCACATTTAAGTTCCAGAGTTGAATACAAGATGGTAAGACGAATAGCCTCTAATGCACACAGAGTCACATTAGATTTAGAGAATGTGTCTGGATTGCAAGGCCAGTAACATGTATGGCAAAAGCTGTGTACACAACAGGAATCCTGGAGATCATGTTAGTAAAAGGCCTTGGACACAACTAAAATACTTCATAAAGAGCTAAGGATTTTTGTTTTCCTTGGCAGTGGGACATTGCTCATTTAATTCTTTACTTTATAGAAGAACTCAAAAAAGAAAATAAATTATATTTCCAATATAGAAAAGCTGCATCATGAGATAAATCACTTGCATTGTAAAACTGTCTCAATGCAAAGGAAACAGATCTAAACTACTGTATCCATTACACTAAGGGAAGAAAAGATTCGTGACACACATTTCTGTCAGAAAAGCGAAATACTTGAATAACTTGTGAGATATTACAGAACTCAGCGGAGTCCACTGCCAGTACATTATCTGTAGCAAACATAATTATCCTCCAGAACTTGATCTGGCCTAATCAGAGACAAAAAAAAACAAAACAACAACAGTAAACGATACACCTGCAGCCTTCTATTACCTTCAGCTGTGTGTTGTAAGGTCACAATAACACAACGTACACGAAGGTCCAGAATAAGATCCTGGATGATCTGAAGCATATCATTGGGTATCTCGAGTGCAGTTAGAGACTCGTAACTAAGCCTGGAAAGCAAATAAAGTTAGACTGAAGTATAAACCTGCAGGGTTTTTCAAGCTGATATGTGAGGGGTTTTTTGGGGTGGTTTTTTTAGACATTTTCTCTGTATATGAATCTATGTTCTGAGTTCAGCAAATCCTAAGTCCACAACAGGGTTTCTGAGATATTGTTTACCTGCATTACAACAGAAACAGCCATCAAGCTGTCATAAATGATGGTGTGGCTGTGCATCAGATTGCCAAGAGTACACACATTTAAGGAGCCAAAATACACCTACTACATTACCAGCAGAGGAACTCATTTGCTGTATTGCTCCCAACTCCGACCAGGCACAAATCACCAGCTACTATAGCTGAGGATGGAAACATTAATTTCCATTTTTTGCTTTAGAAATAGCAAGTAACAGCATTTCAGCTTTTAACTATAACTGATTGCTGCAGCTGTGCTGAGACTTTAATTAGGGGCACAAAAGGAGGTTCTCTGCTTGTATCCAACTCTTGGAAATTTAAGAAAGGGCACTTAAAGCGCTACCGTTGCTATTTGCCCTACTGCTAACACTGAGCAAAATGCAGGTACTAGAAAATGTTAAAGAACAGGAGTAAGAAGGCGCAAGCAAGTTTGAGCAGTAAGAGGAACATTCCTAATCATCCATCTGTAGGCTCCAGTTCCTTACCCCTTGGGTGTAAACCTACCACTAACCAGACAGCTCTCTGCCCAGCGTAACTACTGAATTAGTAGATTACATAAATCTGCACTATCTCAGCCATGTAAATACCCATCTGTGAGAAGTTTAAGTGACTTTAGGCTGCACAGAAGTTCTATACATAGAGTTGATGCAATTTCTATGGGAGCATGTACCTGTCACATACCTAAGATAATCTTTTTCCTAACATAACTCACCCCAACAAATATATAACTTTCTACCCTTACAATAAGGCAAAAGTCTTGCCAGTAACAGCTTCACTTTATCCCATAGGTCTAATTTATCCTGTGGAATGTATTCATACTGGGCAATGACAGAACAGGGTACAAGAGAAAGACTGTCCAACCACCCTAGTTTAAGCTGTGCAATACATACAAGCAAACAGAAAAATTAAGATCACACATATGTAAATACAACTCCTTGATGTTTAGTTTTGTAAGTTTTAGCATTCTTAAATATAAGCAGAAAACAGTAAATCATTTGTGAGATGACTGAAAAGAATAAAATTCTATCCTGTGCTTCATAATGACCTCATGTAAATGAAAAGTAAGACTTAAGCTATTGCATAACTTTGCAACAAATGACACTTCATGAGAAGAGTTCACCTTTATTGCTGGTGTGAGTCACAGGAATTTATTAGATTGTCAGTGTGGGGCCTTGAAAACAAAAGTATATGCAGCACCTGCAAAAACCTCTGACCTGGTCAGCACTGGTTGATACCCCACCATTGGTTGCTGCGTTCCTCTTCTCCAAACTGCCCCTTTTCTTCTCTACTGTCAACCACTTTAAAGTCTAGCTCACTTCATTAAAGTGCCAGCACAAGCATCAATAAGAACATGAGGTGGGGAAAAGAGTGGGAGGGAGAGAGAATTTCCCCAGCTCTCAGTACAATTTTTCATTACCAGAGCAGTGACCAGAAAGTATAAAACATCCTATAACCTCAGCCTGGATTATACTTCGGATAGCAGGACTGAAGCACAACCAACCATCAGAGAACCTGTTGGTTAAATTTCCAAGCCAACATCACATATGTGCAAGTGTAAAATTCCAGAATTTTAGTGAAATATGAATGAAAGTGGACTGCTTCTCATAAAAGGGCAACAGTGGTGCCAATGCTTGTTCCCTTGCTCATTTACACATTTTCATCAAATGCCAAGTTAATTCTTACTTAAACTGAAAGCCTTCCATAAAATTCAGCCAGAATAAGAAATTTCACATGGATTTCCCCCTCACCCCCCAACTGATTAAAATACAGATAATGTAACTGGCAACAAACTTCGGGGAAGTGCTAAGCAGACTAGACAACAGGCATGCATCACTGATAGCTCCATCTGCAATAAGAGTAGTTATACATGATTATACTGATTTCTTTTCTTCCTCTGTGCTTTGTTTGTTACCTACTTTGAAACTGCAGATAAAACGCATGGTATTATTTCCAGGTATTATTCAAGTTTCCAAAAGATAATGATAGCCTCACATACTCCATAAGCAAATGGAAGCAAATTCTATATACTAAAGAGACATTTTGTAATTAATGATATGCACATTATTAAGTTTGTAAACAAACATCATTACAAGCAGAATGACATTACAAGCAGAAAGGAGTATCACCTTACCAAAACACAGATGTAAAAGTAAATTGAGATTTAAGAATGATACTACAGTGAGAAGCATGCTATTTTCACCCATTTAGGCAAAGAGAGGAAAATGCGTAGCAAATGAAGCAGGTAATTGCTTTCTACCCTGAAGAAACAAATCCCATTTCCTTCACTGAGTGTCATTCATTCGCACCACACAAATATTTCATTCAAACTTATTCATAAGATGCTATGGAAAAATAAGGAATATATCAATACGTAATAAGGCTACATCTTGAGACATTATTAATTACAATTGCACACAGAATCCTAAATATGCCATAAGTAATTTTTTTGTAATCCTGTTTTCAAAAATGTTAACATTACTCAGATTAACACAATAAACAATTTGTCTTAAAGCACACATATTCTGGGAATAGCATCATTTTGTAGGTCCCCAGAATCATAGAATAGTTAGGGTTGGAAAGGACCTTAAGATCACCTAGTTCCAACGCCCCTGTCATGGGCAGGGACACCTCACACTAAACCATGTCACCCAAGGCTCTGTCCGACCTGGCCTTGAACACTGCCAGGGATGGAGCATTCACAATTTACCTTACTGTCTGGATAACATGTGTCAGCCACTGGCCAGAAAGCTCAGATTTCATCTCCCAGCCACCATACTGTCTTGATTCTCCTTCTTTGAGGCTGAATGGAAGCAAAGCTCCACGGATAAGTTTTACCAGAGAGTGCATCACTTCCTGAATCATTTTCTGCATCAGAAGAAAGAAAAATCCAGCAAAAAATCTTTTTGCAGCCATGTACTTACTATACACAATAGCTTGGAATGTATGATTTACAGGTGACTCCACACTCTAGACAGTAGATGAGAAGGTGTAAGGACACACAGATGATTTAAGAAATCTGATTTTCAAGGTTGTGACACGAAGGTATCTTGCTATGAAGGACAGCTAAAAGAAAGCAAGGTTCCCCCCTCCCTCCTCGTAACTTACCTTGAAATCATTTTGTCTTTGCCTTGCATTTTTCTTTGATCTTTCCATTTGGCCAGATTTTTCAGCAGTCTTGTGAAAATAAGAAAATTGAGAAGTGTAAGTATCTCATAACAACTGTTAAAATAATTCTGAAAAAGGGGGTGTCAAAGTGAAGAAGTGAAAACTAATGAGTTTATGATGCAATTATAAAAAATAACTCATGGCATCTCAACAAGCAAAGTCAATATATATTTCAAACTCTACCTACTGTAGGTCAGCGTGCTAACATTTAATTCTGAGGAACTACGTGTATTTAAAACAAAGAGACAAGCATAAGAGTTGCTCAAGAAATATGAGCTTCATGAGGTCAAAGATTTCTCACTGCAATATTGATGACAGCCAAAACATACATAGTCCAAATCTGCATCATGTTTATATGAAGAATCTATTTTCTTATCAGCCTGGAAGCTGCCCAGAGAAGGACACTGATGTGAAATGGGAAACACTTTTTAGAAAGAGGGCAGTTCGAAATTGTAATATGTGAGGACAAGGGCTGAGGGGTTTTTGTTTGTTTTTAGGAATAGCATACTGTTGACAATGTTCTTTAAATAATTAACTGTAAAAGAGACTCTGCAAAATAATCAGCATCTTCGTGGACTGCTCACTTCCTTGGAAACAGAGGAACATGAGTATGCTTTGCATGAGGCAGTTACAGTTGAAGAAAAACATGGTTTGACTAACAGTCTTCCTGTTTGTAGTTCTAGCCTTCTGTGGAGTCTACTGAGAAAGCTAAATTAAACTAAAAAAGTTATTTCAGATGCTGGGTTAAGCAGACAGAATTTTATAATTAGAAAATCTCTTATTTTGTGTTTGTACAGCAACATCTACTGGAGAAGAAGTGCAATAACATGACAAGTGTTCTCAATCAGTTTACTTGTAAATGGTTAACTGAAAGCACTGTCTTTTTCAAATTCCATATTTAGCTAAAGCATTACAGATTTTCAAGTTAAAAAATAATTTGAAGTGAGAAAAAAAAAATCAGAAAAAAAAACTGCTTAACGTTTTTGGAAAATACATAGCTATGAAACTCTTACACTTTAAGCTCTGAATTATAAAATTTGAGACAAGGAAAACACTGGAGTCATTGCTGCATAGAATGCCCACTTCTTTCTTCTACTGCCTTAAAAAGAAGTTTTTTTTTCCTTAAACCTCACCCAGCAACTTACAATTGGCACTGTTTTACAGCTGGATTAAAGAACAAAAAATTCACAGATCTTTGATTTCTCCCCCCCCACCCCCCCCCCGGTGGTTTTGCTGAAGACCAATCTTAAACCTTTCCTGCACAGACAGACCAAAACTATATTGTGGTAAGACCAACGGTTACTACTCACATATGTGACTTCACCTAGAGTGATTCAAAGAACTCAGCTTTTTAAACTGTTGAAAATACCATGTAAATCTTTAACTGATAGTATCTTAAGATATATTGCTAACCTTTCAGAACTCAAAAAACCCACATGTCCCAAACCCCCCAAAACCTAAAAACTGAAAAAAATACAGCTTTAAATTCACATGAGGTGAAATTCTTTCCACATTTTTAAAATGTCTTAATGCCTTGAAGTCTTCAATAAGCTAACTGAAATGACACTCTACACCACTTTAACAGGACGAGTCCTAAAAAACCGTAGCAATCACCTTGCTACCTGAATGACAATAAATAGCAAGCAACATGGGAGAGGAAATTTATTCATGGACAATTACAGTCTGCAACATATAAACCCTGAGTTTTGAATGCAATATACTGATATTCTAAGGTGTTCTATAAGTCTTTTAGTTAATGCTATCCCCCTCCTCCCACTTGACCTGTGTTGACTGTGGCATGCAAAACACACAAAAGGAACTGGGGGCACCATCCCTTCTCTCTCCCCAGGAACTTTGGGGACTTCTGTAAGGGCCAAAGAACTCAAAAGAACGGGGATTAATTTCTTACAAGCACAGAATCTGGCACAACAGAAGAGGAGCAGATGTACCTTCAAGACTAACAGGAAAACAACCTCCCTTTTTTTTTTTCCCCAAATACACAGAAACAATGTTTTGTTCAGACGTGACAAGATCATTGCATTTTCCACTTCCAGTCATTTTCATGAGCAAAATTTCTCAACCTTGTTTACAGTTCAAGTCTCAGTTTCTCTAGAAATTGCTTTCTTTTTCATTGTACTCAGGGAAAAAGAAAAATCACAGCAACTTAACAGGTGAATTTGCAAAATCTACTTTCCAGATATAAAGGCTGTCATTTCCCTTATGAAATTAATTATTTTTGTGAAAGTCAACAGTACTAAGGTTTATTCTTGATTCTACTTCCTTCACTGAAGGTTATGAGTAAGTGCCTTATCTCTCTCTTGATTTTATCACATAAGATAAGGATCACAAATAGAATCCATTTCACTGGAGCTATAATACTCTGTATTGTGTTCAACATATAAAGGACTGTATTATTTATTAGAATGATCACATTATATTCAGATTTAAAGACAGCGGCAATAAATAGAATATCTGCTTGAGAAATTCATTCTTTAGTTAGAGAAAAGGAAAATGATGAAATAAGCTTCCAAATTTCCTTTTCCCAGGGTATTTGTTTTCTTTTCTACTAAAGCTACAAAGAATCGTAGAGATCTATGGTTGCAGTTCTGCTTTAGGGATAATTTAGTAGTGGAACACTATGGCTGTGATTACTTCAGCATTTAAGAACAGCAGGACATCACAAAAATGGCAGGACAAAAATCAATCTCAATACAGCAGCAGTTAAATGGAGGAGTTTTAGATGCACAGACTTTTACGCTGGATATAGAAGCTGCTCTGAATAATAGGCATGTCCAAAAGCTTGACTGTTTTTCCACCTGCACTGTAATATTCCATCTCTACCTCTCTGCATAGATCTGGTCTTTAGAGCTTTTAGGACCCAGAATAAGTCCAAACTTCACTCAGCAGAACTTCCACAGTGATAGTTGTGAAGATGAGCTGTGAACTAGTGCCTTAACATCTGTTGATGGAACAGACAGCTGCCTTTCACAACACTTCAATCGTGTGTCTTTGTCAGACTAGCTCCTTGTGAATATACCATCACTGCAGTTCTGAAGAACAAACAACATGGCTTGAGAACTAGAAGTGAACTCTGTAAAATGTAATTCTGTGACACGAACCCCAAAGCTATTGCATTTATCTGATAATAATTATCATGGTAAGCTATACACTACTGTCCTTGTCAGACAACTACGCATATCAAATGAATTATGAAATTTAACCTTTCAAAATCTATTAATAGCATGCATATAAAATCAGCATGTCATGAATCACTACTTTTATTTATCCTGCTTCTTGGATTACCAAGATTGTATTCACATTAATTTGTAAAAACCAGATCATCCGAGCAAGAAGGACTAGAAGCACAGCTGATTGCAGCTGCCTGCACTTTCAGACTAGACTAGACTCCCTGTAGCATGCATGGGTGTGTACTACTCTGGGCCTTGGTCACTTTGCAGCTCTGGTTTTGAACCTATCCTCACTTTCAAACACTTAAAGCTCAAGAAATGAGTACTCTTGTTTCAAAGAAAGAAAACATTATTTTTTTTTCTATATGACTGTCTTTTACACATCTCCTCCATGCAATTTTCTATTTCTTCAGATCAATGAAAGGCAGCTGGCCAGCTATGACTTAAGAGGTGGAACTACAGATATTGACTCCAGCATCTGGAACACACAAACACCACTAGCAGAATTCTAAGTAATTCCACTGTATGCTTTTATTCTTTTAAAAGTACAAAGAAAATTCTGACTTCTATAGGTTAGTATTGCAAGAAACCTTACTAGTCAAAGCAGTATCTCTCAAACGTGTAAGAGTCTACGTATCATTATATAAACCTCTCTGATTAAAGCAAGTCGTCACTTCTTCCAGTGAAATATCATAGTTCAAACAATCATTATGAAGTTTTGTTATTTAAAAGTAGCTTATATAGAAGAACCCGTACCTCACTGAATAAACTTCCATTCACATAAGAAATCCAGAGCTTCCAGAAGTTGGGCAGCTGACTTACAACAAGTTTTGTCAGCTTTTCAACAAACACAACTTGTTGAGGAGCTTTGTATCGCCAAGCTAAAATGGGAAGAGAGGATGGAAAAGGCAAAATTAAAAATATTTGAACTAATAATTTTTTAAAAAGTACTATTAGCTTGCAGCTTTGTATTACCACAAGTGACTACACAGTATGTATATAAACATCCAGGTAAAAATGAAAAAAAACAATCAGTACGCATAAAAGCTCCTTCTTCTCATATGCTTACAAACCGCTGGCACTGAGATAGTACATAAAGAATAGGCCTCTTTGTAAGGGGTATCCAATGCAATGCACCCAATAATTCAGACAGCAGGACTTCTGTCTTCAAGATATTCTAAAAGGTAAGGTCACATGAAAGCAATCAAGAGATTAGAAGCTTCAAATGATGAGATGGTGATGCTGCAGAAACAGGGCTGGTAGGAGGGGCTAGCGCTTAAGGTAAACAATGGAAACTGGACTATCTGCTTTATTTACAGCTTAAAAAATTTTCCATTGTGGCTTGGGGCAAGGTGCCAACCTCTCATCTTTATTTTCATTTCTTTGGTAAAATCTTTAATCTGAAAAACGGGAGATTCCAACAGTGTTGAATGAACAAATCACTAACTATATAATGAAATGACTGGATGCAGAACACACTCCTAACATGTAACACTACAGCACCCATGTTTTCACTTCATGAACCTACTTACACTCCTGGTATACCAGCTATTAAAACATATCAGGAAAGTAGCTTTCATTCTAGCAGCAAATATATTTTCTCAATTTCTTATCACATGGAGCAAAGAGCAGTGGGAAGGGACATAAAGAGAAAGCTGAACAGAGGCAGAAAAAATTATTAATTAACACAGAAAATAAAGGTAACTTTTTCCATAACCATCTGCCATCTCCAAGCTTTAGAATGCTTGGAGAAGGAATCTCTTTTTTATTTTTTTGAGAACACCTCTCGTCGTAGCCCCCCCCCCCCCCAAAAAAAAACAAAAACAAACAAACCAAATCAAAATGCCACCCCCCACCCAGAAAAAAAAAAAAAACAACACCAAAAAAAACCCACAAAAGTCCCCCAAACAACTAAAGCCCCATAAAACAAAGATGTTCACATTTGTTGGTTTGGTTTTTTTTTTGTGTGTGTGTATAAAGTCTGGTCTTTTATAAATGATAAAGTTAAAAACATATTATCCAAATAACTGCAAAAATGCAGAAAAATGTTGGTTAAAATAGCACTTCATCTTTACTCTACTAGAGAATATTGACTACAGAACCAGTTAGGCAAAAATAGCTGCACCTTCAGTAACTAGTAGGCTAGGCTTCATCAGAACCTCACTTTTTTATTGTGTGGCAGCCAGTCTGGAATCTCCTTCAGGTACACCATGCCTTCAGCAGCATCCATTTGTCAAGGTGTGTATAAAATTCTGGTCCATTTCTTCAGTGGACGAATTTGGACTACCCAAAATGATGTTCTCTTCACGGCCAAAAAGTTTAGGGACTATATTAGTATTTGAAAAATCAAAAAAATCACAATGGAAGCCCAAAATTTGGAGAGAGACTCCAACATAATTGAAGCATAACTCTGCTGATAGTGATGCATCTGTTTAGAAGGCATCAGAACTTCAAAGCTTCACCAGCAAAGCTCTTAGTGTGAATACAGACAGGATATTTGTGCCATCTTGGTTTATGACTGTCAAGAGAACTGGTTAGACCCAATAGCAAAAAACTCTGCCTTTTAACACAAGCTGTGTTAATAACGTTCCTGATGCCTGGAAGTTACGCCAACACTGATATAGCAACAGCGGCGCTGCAACCAAACCTGAGTTCTAACCAAAAGATTTCAGCTCCTTCAAGAAACTGCTTCATCTTGCCAAAAGCTCTAGCATCAACCCGACATTATAACCAGGGATATCTGTTCCCCGTTGACACTACATTTTGATGAATCTGTGCAATTTACATTAACGTAATTACTTGGTATACATGTCTATTATAGGCTTGTGTAACCTACGTTTTGAATACATACAACCTCAAGCTGTGATGCAATTTTTCTGGCACATGAAGATACACTGTGGCAGCACAAGAACGAAAAATAATGACAACTGTACATTCTATGTTCTTGAAAAATTCCATTCCTTCTTCTTTTTGCTCAAAAACACTACGCAGATATTTATAGAAGTTTTTCAAGGAAGTCCACAGAATTGGGAGAAGAGTAACATCAAAGCAGACCAAAGCCAGAAAGCTCTTCATAAACACCTGCTTTATGCAAAAATGTACATTGGTAACAAATGACCCATCCTGTGAAAAATGTTTTCTGCCTCCTGTGATTGAAAGACTTACGAGTTCAAGTTGTTTGAATGATGGCGTTGAAGACACTTATGACACATCTGGGCTGGCTGCGGGCACACTGCTTAAGCTTAGTCATACATTTTGTTTCCCTTTCTGGGTTTAAAGAATTAAAGAACAAGGACCAGATATCACAGTAATCACAGAAGGAGCAAATGCAAGGAGAGCCATCTCCGCAAATACACACAAAAGTTATAACAACAGGAAAAGGTAGTAGTAATTATTTCTGGTTTTGTAGAGAGAGAGAAAAAAAAAAAAAAGAAAAAAGATTCTCATTACCTTAACTTCATTTTAAGAAGCAGATTTCAGCTATGAGCTGCTCTTTTGCTTATTAAAAACACAGAGGACCTCTTCAGTGAGCAACAGTAAGGCATGAAAAAAAAGCATTCGATTTGGTAACAAACCAAAACAAACACAAAGAGCGTGGGGTTTCTGTTTGGATTTTCTGACTACACCACACATTGGACATAGGGAACTGCAGCTTTGTTTTTCCAAATAAAAACAGATGCCTACCATCATCACGGCCAGACTGAAAGCTGCTGCCCCTTTTCAATGATGCAGTTTGACTGAGATGGCCAATTGGTGATGGACGCACATCACTGTCCAGATCCAGCATAGGGCTGTGGAGCAATGAGCTGCCTGAGAGAGAGGGGAAAAATAAAATGATTTTGCACATCAACTGACATGAAACTGCATGCGGCATTCTAATTTAACTCTGAATTGATACAAAACAAAAGTTACCAAGCAAAAACATTCTTAATCTTGTTTGTTTAGACGGCTTGCTCATCTACATGAATGTTATTCAGTAACACCACTACTGACTCCTGTAAGCAAAGCCAAACCCACAAGTACCATGTGGGAAATATCAGTCTTTATTCTGTATGTTTCTCTGTTCTTACTTTAACTAATGCCCCACAATTAATAGCTTGAAAGCCATGGATAAATATGTATTTATGTCATTAATGACATGGCACACACTTTTTTTCTGTATGGCTAAACAAACTTTTAACAGCAAGCCTTTCTCCTGCCTCCAGCCGAAGCAGTTAAGGGCAGTGTGTTCAACTACTTAGATATTTGACCTATACAGGGTTCAGGTAGAAAGAAACCATCCATCATGAAGCAGATGAACTAACAGCAATGTACACTTGTGCATGTCTGTAAACCACCCTGTACTTATACCTATTGACAAACAAAAACAGGTATTTTTTTCCCCTGGGTGGCTGACCATATGTAAGTAAGTATTAGCAAGTTTACAAGCAATGATCTAATCTAATGGAGGTGGATACTTGGAGTCTAATGTACATTTTGGAAAACAACCATGTAACAGTGAGCAGGCAATGATGATTTTCTAACACACTGTAACACTGCCAATATTTCTTTTAAAATCTATATTGCTGCTTTAGGCATTTCACCTTACAGATACATTTCTGAAAGTAACCATCAAAATTATTTCAGCACTGAGCAACAGAGCTGTAACAGCTAAAGTTAAATGAATTACAATTCGTAGAATTATAGAACAGCCCAGGTTGGAAGGGACCTTGAGAGATCATGTGGTCCAACCTTTCAGGGGAAAAGGAGCCTAGATGAGATTATCTAGCACCCTGTCTGGTTGCATCTAGAAAACCTCCAGCGATGGGCCCTCTACCACATCCCTGGGCAGGTTATTTCAGTGAATTTCAGTGATTCATTGCTCTTACAGTAAGACATTTCTTTCTTATATTGAGATGAAACCTCTCTTGATACTTCATGCTGAATTTTGTAATGAGAGTCTTAATGGTTGAGTTTACATTGCTTGATCTTTTCCATCAATACCTACATTCACTTAAAATAACAGGAAGGCCACACAGTAAGAGCACCAGCTGTAACACTGCAGTACTCAGATTCAAGAGTAACACAAAGTAAAAAGGATTTGAAGGATATTTATTCTGAATTAATGCTGCTGTCAGACCAACAGGGCAGTAAAGATATACCTAGTCACTTTACTTCAACAGCTGGGGCTTAAACTCAAATATTAAGTATCACAAACTTCCAATAGGTGACAGTATTGTGTTTTAGTTCCTTTTGAAAGAAGTTCTTCTTTCCAAAATTCTTTAATGGGTTTAAAAGAGATTTCCTGTGGCCTTTCACTGTGGCATTGTGATTACTGATCCAACTGTAGTTCCTCTATTCATCTCATTACTGTTCATACTATAAGACAATAGCTAAATAGATCCAATTTGCTACATCATTCACAATAGTGACAGACATACTGAATTCCCTCTGCATGAACTAAAACTGCAAATAGTAATGAGAAAGTAAAAACCTAAAGCCTGCAGAAGTTTTGTTAAGTAAGTATGTATGCTGGAAGTACAAAAGGTGAATTACGGACATGTACTATGCAACTACCCATACAGCAGAGATCTGTGTAAGATCACAGATCATTAGCATTTATAATTTAAACACCTATGATTCCTAAAACATATCTTAAATGTTATAAATTTGCGGTAATTATCTTCTGTGAAAACATTCAGCAACCCTACAGAATGAAGTAAAACCAAAACAAATTGATTCCTTTCCAGATTAAAAAAGTATACACTGAATATCTTCAGAGATTCTACCCAGAATAAAGAGAAAATTGCATAGAAGACCCTGAGAAATTTTACGTGCCTTGCATAGCTCTTGGGCATCCATAAGAATTTGCCTCAGATACTCAGATATTCAACATATCTGCATTTTATTTTGGTGGGGGACGGGGAAGGGGGGAGGAATGTATGTCAAGACATTGCTGGTTAAAACATATATATATATATATATATATATATACACGTTAAATTTGTTAATACATATATATAAATCCACCCAATAAAACTCTTAAAAAACCCTCTCCAAAATCAAGCAATCTGAAAAAACAGGAGTGCAGCAATGTTATTTTCACAAAAACTACAATTAGAAAAACCCATGAAAAAACATCCCTCTGATGTCTTTGCCTAGAATTTAGGTTCTCACCTTTCAAACACCTTGTTAATATGAGGAATTTCTTGTAAACAGATCGTCTCTAAAAATGACAGTGCCAATTAAACCTCAGAATTAAGAAAAACAGACACACTTACCAAAACATCTTAATGTAACTTAGTTCAATTAAAACCATTTGCTTGAGGTAGTTGAAAACCTGAAAATTCTGTATTGCTGCTGATACACTAACCCCATGCTGCCCAAATGGTTTATATATCCACCAGTTACAGAAAACATGTAAAGAATACTCTCTTGTTCCACCAGAAAAACCACATCATCAGTTTGCAGCCGTACCAGGAAAAGAAAGTTTAACATGAACTAATTTCTTAATTGGTTGTCTAGCATTACAAGCAAGTATAACACAGCAGCAGGGAACTACAACAGCACATATACCCTCAGGACTAATAAACATCTGGAGTACATTAGCAAAGCTGATCTTGCTTTCACCCTACCAGAAGATAGCGCTTGAAGACTGCATACTAATGCATAAATCTTGTAAAAAAAGTGAGAGTTAACTTGCAAACAATTTTTCTCCCATCCCAACTCATTCCCTTTCTGGAGCCAGCAGCTTAAATTTAGCAGCATAATGTAATACAATGAATTTAATATTAGTATGGACTGTAGACAGTAACATTTATAAGCCCAAATAAACTACCCAAATAATAATTTGCTGCCTATTTGTTAGTCTGTTTGTATACTATTTCGACATTCCTAGATCCCGAGTATAGGACAGCAACAACCTGAAGTTTCAAGATACTAACTTTTTACTGTGCTAACGCGTTTTAAGAAATAAACAGCATGAATAATACATTCCTGGCATATCTTAATTTAAAAAAAAAAACAAAACAAAACTGCATCTTGGAAATCACAAAAGTTGGGAGGTTTTTTCTGTTTTTTTTTTTTTTTTTTTTTGGTTGTTGTTCTGTTTTCCAAAATATACCATCTACATGGAGCATATCTATCAGTGACTGCAGTGCCAAGTGTATATTTAACCAAGGAAACACAGGAAAAATAAATGTACTACATTCTCTTCTTCTACCAAAGAGTCATGACAAACCAGAAGTATAACTAAAGTTTATTACATTTACGACTGAAAAATCATGAAAAGAGCAAATAAGTTCAAAAGACCTTAACATTGTTTTTTTTAAAAAAGATTTTACTAGGTTTCAACTTCTTGTGCACAGATATTTTAAAGGTAAGAAGGATGAAATTAAAACACTCAGATGCCATGTGAAATATAAATAGTTCAGCAGTTTTGCTAAGACCTCTTCTCTTCTTGCGTAAGATCTCACCAAAACAAAGATCTAAAAGAAAGCACAATGCTTTTTGAGGTAATTTAATTTGTGCTTTTGTGTTCTGTAAATCAAGTCACCTGTGCTGACCCCAAATTGCAGGTTTACTCCAAGTTTATCAGTACTGCAGATCCTACAAGGTACATATGTGCCTGCAGTACCTATGGCTCATGTACATACCTTGACCCCACTTTATTGAATGTTACCTGCATGCTCTTGGCTTGCACCAGGTTACAGCCTCTGTTAAAAAGACAACTAACATGAAATTTACCTAGAGTAGATTTTTCCATGATCTGCAAATCAGTCAATGATTTAAAAGTCCTTAAATGCAAATTACTTTCAAATTTCAAAACTATTACCAAATTAAGTGTAAAAATAGCTCTGCAATATCAATCCCTTCACAGCTCTTGCTTCTTTTGTTTTGTTTTCCCCTCTCAGCCTGAGAGGCAGAGGCTTCTCAAGGGGGTCACACATCTCCCTTCTGTAACCCAGCTTCAGCCACTCTGCAATTCTGCCAGCTACTGCACGACTTACATGGCATTCAGCTAAGGCTTTTTATAAAAGCTGCTGGTTGACTAGGGGATAACATAAGGCCAGTACTTTTTGCAGCGACAAAGAAAATTGTTAAGAAGTGACCAACCTCGGGCTAAATGTTTTTTTTTTTCAGTGTGATTTTCTATGCTAAGTCAAACACCAGTTACTACAGAGCCTTGCAGCATACATACACATACACAGCATGTATATGAGCAAGATTTAAAAGGAAGAGACCCTACGGATGTGCAACCAGGTGAATACAGTTACTGTGTTCTTTCATCCATTATGTATCTTACAGTGAATTTTCTCACAGGCTACAATAGTAAGGGAAGGCTGATCTATAGCCTCTGGACTCTCTGAAGGGCGTCAGACTTCCTTACCAGCCTTAAACACCTTTGAACATTTTTTCCTGTGCACAGCGGGCCCTTGTCCTGTGCTACAGCCTGACCACCCACTGTTGCTTGTTGACCAAACACACAGTGCCTGGAGCCCGCACGGACACAACCAGTATAAGATTCCTTTCAAGGACACTGCATTGAGAATTTCAATTCGTCTAGGCAAGAAAATAGGCCAGAAGGAGAAATTACCAAAAAATTAACCTGCTCAACAGATGAATAACTCATTTTACCCTTTTTCTTGAATACTTTTTCTTTCTTTTCCTTACATTTATTAGAAATATGTCAGTTTTAAGTGATCAAGAAGAAAATGGGTTGTATTTCTAGCAGAGATGAACACGGAAGATAAATTGCTGCACTCTACAGAAAAAATGTTTTTGAAATACATTTAAAAAGGAATGCTTTTTTAAAACTTAAGGCTAGACTT